TATTTTAGACAGAGGTTCTGGAGCCAAGCGTCAAAGGACACAAGCACAGGCCACTGTCTCATGCTACACAAAACGTCCCCCGCTGCGCCTGGTACCTCACGCAGGGCAAAAGCGAAACGAAAGAGGCATACTTTACTCTCAGGCCCCCTACAGGAAAAACGACTGCCTTGTTACCCACATTTATATAACTTCGCGGAATAACCATTAGAGGAAAAGTAAGAAAACAATGATGCTACTGTAAGTGCATGTGTAGGCGTCCACAAACGAGAGTGTATCTGTGTGTGACTGAGAGTAAAGAGGGAATGAGAAATCAGGCATGAGCGAGATGGGAGAGGGATAATGACTGAAACAGAGGGAATAGAGAATCGAGCCGAACTTACATTTGATTTGTTGATTAACTACTTATCTAAACAGGCCACCAAATCTGATTACATAGACCAGACTGCATGCTGATTGCATTACCAGACGATTGCATCTCACCACGGATTCCCAAAACAACTCCAGCAGAAAAATGAGACGTGCAAACAGCAGCCAGATTAGGCTAATAATAATATTTATAGTTCAATAAAAACTAAAACATTTAAACACTTAAAACTAGTTTATTACTAACTAAAATTATTAAATAAGAAGTAACACCTAGCCTATGGATTAGCTGCATAAACATTCTGATGTTTGCAAAACGGTCCAAAAAGCATTTAAAATGAAAAAGTACATAACATGAAACGTATATATATATATATATATATATATATATATATATACACACACACTTATAATGTAAATAATCAGTGACTTACTTCAAGACAGCACTGTCTCCTTGTCTGACAGTGATGTTGTCCTTTAAATAAGATTCTCCGCTTCTCGCTGGCACTCCTGCGGGCACAAGGAACAGCAGTCTTAGAGCCACGACAACCAGGCATTTCCACTGCAGCTCAAAATAACCAGTTATGCCCATTTTTTCCGTCAGAAAACTCAGAAACTTCCGTCCGCAAAAAGAAGCGTATGACTGAAGGAGCGTAAATGTGATTCCCCTCGGAACGCAGCGTCCACTTTGTATTCCGTCCTCTAAATATCTCCAAAAGTATTCGTTTTACTCAGTGTTACTGACAGGAAATCCTTCAAAACGCTCGTAAATATTCCTTGAAAGTTTTCAGCAGTCGGGTGAAACGTTTTTTCACGCGTTTTCAGACACACGGAGGTGCTGTACCGAGTCTTCAGAGGCAGCACATATGTTGCTCGCGCTCTTAAAGATGCTTCAGCCTCGTTCTGAGCCTCGTCGGTTTCAAAATCACTTTAATTGGACCCGTACAAACTGAACGCGACTGCGAGAGGATGTTCAGTGCGTGAACACCTCCGAGGGTGCTGAAGCGGGTTGGCTGTGTGTGGAAAGAAGCAGAAATACGCCTGAAGACCGAGAGAACGCGCTCGGTGGTGCTCTTATGCACGGATAGGTGAGGAAACTGACTACCCGTCAGTTCCTGTGTCTCCCTAAGTAGGGCTGAACTCTGGGTGAACGCATGCGGAGAAGACACCATACACGCGTTGAGGTCAACACAGATAATGGGGAGAATATTTACTCCAAACACATTCAAATAAATAATATATTTATTGTGGACAACTGGGCAATTATTTATTTGTCTATCTATCTATCTATCTATCTATCTATCTATTTCTTTCAAAACCCCTTTAAAACCAGCAAACATGCTAGTTTTGTAGACCAGCTAAGACCATCTTTAGATGTTTTTTTCCGGCCGTCGATTAGTACTGCATACTAAAAAGAAACAATATGCGATTATGAAATTAGACTTGCGGAAAACATCCTTTTCAGCAACATTTAATCATTAAAGTTATCGTTTTTAGCCTTGCATGAAATATAATCCATGATAAGGAGATTACAGTGGGCAGAATCCAAACATTTTATGTGGTGTGGAATTTATTTCAGATTATCATTCTCATATCCATATACCACAGTCTTAAGATAATCTTTAACTAATCACTGCACTTAAACTGGTTTATGTTTACATTGATGGTAGATTTACTTCAGCAAAAGAAATGCAGAAGATAGAGGTTTAAATGGGGTTTATTGATTGAATAGAGTTACTTGACCATTTTACCAGAGATTGTTACATTAAAATGATGATGAACATGCCAAGTGGAAGTATGGCATAAGATAAGATTTAATTAAAAAATATATATCTTCCTCTGATGCAACCTGGTACTTGAGAAGCTGATTTGATTCAAGTGTTTTTTAATTAAAACCTGACTGACCTAAGCAAATTGTAGATCTGTTTAGGTAATTAGTAGTGTGAATCCACGCTTCAGTGTAATTCAGTAGAAAATGATACCCTTGATTTGATAATAATTCTGGGAGAAGGGAAAACAACAGAAGTCTTCTTATCCTTAACACCTGAACCGATTGATTTAGCAGAAATGTGGAAAATCCAACCATTCGACCATTCGTACCACCATTGTGGACACAATGAACCAATTATCTTTCTTTGTTTAATTGTTTTTCGGTATTTCTGGAGGAAGCTCAGTTGTGTTCAATCCCAGAGCTCTGGGTGGGCGGATGAAAGAATGTTTCATTTCACTGTTTTTGTTGTGAATCAGTCACGATGAGTTCACATCTTTGTTATAAATGTATCTATAGTTAGCATTTCAATTCAGGTCAGTTGATGATCTTGCACCATAATGTGCATATTCAGTGTTAAAACGGGTCACCAAGTAAATGGATGCTCAGATATGGATCATCAAGATTCACAAATTAAACTTATGCTCTGCTCTGCTGTAAGCAAAAGGTCTTCCATAAACCTGCACAGTGTATTTCTACACACAGGACAGTTCATATTGCTCAATAAACACCACTAATATAAACAGACATAAAGATCTAACGAGTACGAGTACGAGTACAGGAGGCCAGTATCGGGCCCGATACCGATACCAGTATCGGTATCGGTGCATCCCTAATAATAATTCTGGGAGAAGGGAAAACAACAGAAGTCTTCTTATCCTTAACACCTGAACAGATTGATTTAGCAGAAATGTGGAAAATCCAACCATTCGACCATTCGTACCACCATTGTGGACACAATGAACCAATTATCTTTCTTTGTTTAATTGTTTTTCGGTATTTCTGGAGGAAGCTCAGTTGTGTTCAATCCCAGAGCTCTGGGTGGGCGGATGAAAGAATGTTTCATTTCACTGTTTTTGTTGTGAATCAGTCACGATGAGTTCACATCTTTGTTATAAATGTATCTATAGTTAGCATTTCAATTCAGGTCAGTTGATGATCTTGCACCATAATGTGCATATTCAGTGTTAAAACGGGTCAGCAAGTAAATGGATGCTCAGATATGGATCATCAAGATTCACAAATTAAACTTATGCTTTGCTCTGCTCTGCTCTGCTGTAAGCAAAAGGTCTTCCATAAACCTGCACGGTGTATTTCTACACACAGGACAGTTCATATTGCTCAATGAACACCACTAATATAAACAGACATAAAGATCACCATGAAGGAATGCAAACAGAAAGAAAAAAATACATGTGAATCTACTGCCGTCTTGCAGAGACAGATATGGCACGAAGCGGGTCACACTGGCTGTTTGTGATATAACTACAGTCACTTTTGATTAACTGCTGTCTGCCTTGTGCCGCAGTTCTGTTAGTTGCAGAGGCTGCAATTACATAGAATTACCTGTCCATCTCTGTTTAACCAGCTATCCATCTGTCAATCCAAATTACTGACCTTTTTTTTCATCCATGCCAAAATGGCCACAAACCCCTTTAAATCATAATGCAGTGTAGCAAATTGCCACATTAAAACACAATATATGGTTACAGGTGTGTGTTTAGGTCATTTTATATTTTTGCTTAAAATTCAATCCAATCAGAGTTGGAACTATGCATTTTATAATATAGAGTGCAATAGTGCCCATCCAGTTATCAGAAGACTTGGTTCCAGAAGTATTTTTCCCATTTATTTTTTTTCCATAGGGATTTTTAAAAAAAAGTCTTATGTTATGCATAAAATTTTAATTTGATGCCAAAATGTCTATGAAAATCTGACAAAAAGACAAGGTACAAAACTGTGTGCTTTAGTGAGGAAAAGATGGGAGTGGGCGGAGCTAAAGAACTATTTCCATGCACTTTGCTCACTGCGACTCTGATTGGTGGAATTTTCTACACAGAATCATGTGTACTGTAGGTTTTCGCAACAAATTCTGCTATTAAACACAATTATTTGTTGAATTATTGTGAATAGATGGTTTCATAAATGCATATACCACCATTTCTTAACCTCAGAGTTCACAACAGGTTTATCAGTTATTGTAAAAAAAAAAAAAAAATTCCTATGGAGAAAATTTATTGAGTTTTTACATTCAGAACACAACTGTTGCGCTCTATTTAAAATGTTACTCCGGTTGAGCCATTCCTGGTAGATAACATTAATTCAGCTAGATGCATTGGAATGAGAGCTAAAATCACTTCAGTTTGAAGGAAGCTATGTTGAAAATGTCAATTATCATTCCGCATGGTTATGCAAATGATGTTGAGGGAGACGACGAGTTAATACAGCTGGTATAGCTGGAAATATCTGACGCTCAATCTCCGGTTGGCATTCAGAGTCACTCAAAACTATTCATGTGCGTTCACTTTCGTACTGTCACCTGATGTTCAATGTCCCCGTCTGTAGTGTCTAGCGTTAAACTATCAATTTGTCAAATGCAGACTTGATAAAAAGTGACTTCCGTACATTTGTGCATGATTTTGTGTGTATGTTTTCTAATTACTGGTGCCTTAACTTAATTGTTGACATGCCCCAGTATCTACGGAGAAGGAAAAGAGCTCTTTAACTTGCTTTTTAAACAATAGGCCAAATTATGAATGCAACCTAAACAGCTGTTGCAGACACATTGAACAAATTAGCATAGTTTTGCAATATCCAACATCTCTAAAGGACTAGAAAAAGTGGTTTTGCGCTCTATTATTAAAAGTATGTATGTTTGTAAGTTGAAAAGCACTACAAATCCGTTAAAACTGCTTTTA